TCTCTCCTCCTCACCCGCAGGTCCTCACCTGAGGAGGGAAGAACGCGGGGTTCTCCTGGGGCAGAGCTGCTCCGAGGAGGGTGTTCCAGAGGGACTCGCGGGGACACCCCGAGGAGCATCTCTGATGGGCAGCCCCGCCCGAGCTCCCTTGGGTCAAGGGAGGGTGAACTAGGACCGGCCCCTCCGTCTCCCAGGCCTGGAGCAGCTACGTGGCTACTCCATCGTCTAAAGGGGCCTGGAAGTTCAGACACTCGGCTGCTCTCCCAAGGGTTTCCGAAGGTGGGGAGCCCCTCTTCTGGCCCCGCAGCAGTTAGGAAACCCCCGGGGGGGATTTTGGACCATACATCTCCGGAGGCAGCAGAGGCCCAGGAGAAAGGCTGTGGACACTCACTCCAGAAGGGGTCACCACGCAGCTGGTCGTCGAGGATGGAGTTCCTGGTGAGAGAGGCGGCGATGGAGGCGGCCCGGGGGCTGCCAAAGTAGGACTCCCTGACCACAGACTCGCTGTAGTAGGAGGTGTGCCTGTCGGAGGAGGGGCCCAGCTGTGGCGCTGGGGAGAGGCGCTTCATGTTGCCGGATTTCTTCTTCAGGGTCCTGTGGGAGGTCAGCAGGAGGAGAGAGGCAGGAGCTGAGCCCAGCCAGGAAAGCGAAAGCGGGGCTCTAGGCAGTGCTCTGCCCTCCTAAGGTCGGGGCGGGGGGGGGGGGGGCGCAGCCTTGTTGCTAGGCAACTAACAACTCCCAACTGCTGACTGTCTACCGCGCAAAGCAGGTACTTTCTGTGCTCCCGTTATCTCTAAATCTCACAAGCAGTTAGGCGAGACCATCAGTAAGCGATGGAGTCAGGATTCAAATCTAGGTCTCTAACTTCAAAGCCAAAGTGTTTTTTCATGCTTCCTCATGGATTAGTAATTTCTACAACCCACTGAAAACCCAGACAAACCCAACCTGGCCTTCTAGAGCTAGTCAAAGCCTCAGGGGCTGTCAGCTCGGCCTCACATCTGCAAGGGGGCAGGGTGAGGCAGGCGCCTGCCTTAGCTCACATCCTGGTGCCCCTTGGACTTGTTCGTCTCCTCAGCTGCTTCGCTGGCCCTGAGGAGGCCCTACAGACAGTGGCACATGTGGGTGTGGGTCTGGGGAGGATGGCCAGACTGGCAGAGCCATCCACGGCACCATGGGTTCCTGTGAGCCCAGCTCTCGGTTTTGGGGTTTCCGGCCTGGCTTATTCTTGAAGCTGCCTCTCCCCACTTCCTGTTCTCTGAACATGAGGGCAGCAGCCCGGCTTACAGCATGGAGAGAAGAAACAACACTGGGCCCTGGCATCCCCAGAGGTGTGAATGTCCCCTTTGACCAGACATGGGTATCTGATCTCTGCCCACAAAAGTCACAAGACGAAGAGGCTGCGCAGTGAGCCGCCCAAGACATGTGCTCTGCAGGTCAGTGCGATCCCACGGAGGCGGGTGGGGCTGGAAGTGGCGATCCCATACCTGAGAGGGCTGTCTTTAAACAGGGTGCTCTGACTGCCCATCACCGAGCTCCCCCCACTGCTGCTGCTGCCGTCATCGTCACCCTGGGAGTAGCGTGTGAGGCGCTGGCTTCTTCGAGACATGATGAGGTGGGCGGGGGACCCTTCCCCTGAAGAGTCTTGGGAGAGAAAGGGCGCCATGTGAAGCGTGGGGCTGTTCTCAGCCCCTCTCCAGGGGAGGAGAAACAGCGCACTGCCTCCTAGCCAATCCCCACCCCCCACCGGGATTCAACTGAAACAGCCTGAGATGTGGGTGACATGGGGCATTTATTAATTATCCCGGCCCCACCCACCCTGCTGCCCTCTGCCCTCTGCCTTGGGCAGCCTCTTTCATGGCACCTTCCACAGGATTTCCTAATTCTCAGTTTACTGGATGCGGAGGTCCGTGAGAGCTAGCATTGGGCCTTCTGCAGCCTCTGACATGAGACAGAGCCTGTGGCACCTGATAGATGCTAAATGAATGCCTTTCATCACTGCTGCCCTGCACCCGCTCTCCAGCCCAGCCATCTCACCCTGCTGCCCTGTCCCTAGAGCTGTGCCTGTTCTTGTTCTAGCTTGTTTCCCTTAGATGGGACGTGCTTTCCTTTCTTCGTAGCTGTATTCACTGATTCAGAGCCGCAGTCAAACTTTGACTCCAGAAAACTTTTGCACGGTAACCCCTGCCTACATCCTGATGGCGCCCGATGCCGTATCCCATTAGTGATTACTGGGCTGCAACATCAGTGCATCTTGATACGATAAAATACTTTGTTAAATGCCTCCTAGGTACCCGGCTCCTTACACACCCATTATAATCCAGGAAGGCATTGTTACCCCCATTGTACTGGGGGGAACCTGGGACACTGAAATGATCAGTAACCTGCCCACAGCCACCCAGCCTGTAAGTGACAGTGGCAGAGTTTGAGCTCAGCTCTCACAGGTTGCAGGGCCTGGGTCCTTCCACTCCACCAGGAGGTTTTCAAGTTGTTTCAGGAATGTGTTGTTGTGTCCCCAACTAGAGCCTTTTACAGCCTCCAGTATGTTCAGAACAGGCTGCAGAGCTGTTACATTTGTTAACAAACTAACAAAACAGGCAGGTGGAGCGCCAGTGTGGGATTAGCCTCAGTCCCTATCAGCCAGACCAGTCACTACGTGGGGTGGAAAACCAAGGCTCTGGAATTGATAAGGAAGACTCCGAGGAGGCCAAGGTGAAAAGACGTGGCAAAAGGGGGCATTCTACAACACAAGGAGGATTCATAAACCTTTCAGTTCTAGAAACCCAAGTTCAAAATCTCAGATGACCAGTATGAGCACTCTGAACATGGCGCCTTTGCCAGCCTGTATTACAAAGTCACTGTTATACTTCGGTCCTAGTACTTGTGACTTAGCACTTCCAATATTCCTCGTTGATACTTAAATTACTAGTTCTCTGGACTGTGTGATGGACATAGGCTCTAACACATCCCAACTCAGACTACAGAAACCAGGAGGTCTGGTTAGTCCAGTTGAAGAATTCTACAAAGTCGTCTTCTGAAAAACAAGCAGCCTCATGTCTTGGGTCTTACTGGTGTCTTCACAGGTAGGATGTCCACCTGGCATCTTTCCCTGGTTTTAGCCGATGGTGGTAAAGGGACCGATTGGTAGTAGCCACCGCAGGAAGTTGGCCTGGATCCTTTTCTATATTCCATTCCTTATAAGGTAATTCCACCCCTGCTACTGCCCTCCCCACCTGAAAGCTACAGATGCTCACACAGGCTCCTCCTCTTAACCCTGCCCTGCAGAAGCTGATGAAGCTTTCGCCCTGGGGCGGGAACAAAGCAATGAGTTTATACAGAACTCAAGCTACTGCTGGCAAGAATATAAATAAATATTTAGATGGAGGGGTGTGTGTGTGTGTGTGTGTGTGTGTGTGTGTTTGGAGGGGGGGCGGTTGCTGAAAACCATCAGCAGTCAGCACCCTTCCAGGGGTGCCTTTTAGTCTTTCTCATAGGGTTCTGCTATCACGAAACAGTTTATCATTGAATCTGGGTTTCGCAAGATGGAAAGGTGGAGGCCCCGTCCTCCAAAACAAAACAAGAGGTGAGCCTCTCAGAGCTCCAATCATTTGCATATCAGAATAAACACCCCCCGCCTTCCGCCCCCCCGTTAAGACACCCTCAAATAAAACATCCCTTCCCACTTCTGAGAGGAACCACATCCTTTCTCAGCTCCACCCTTCCCCACCCCCATCACAAACTTATATGGCAGTATCCATCCAGTCGTCAGACTTAACCTAGATCTTGGGCATCCTCCGCGGTACGTTTTCATACTACATTCTCTCGTGGGACCTGCAAAACGCTCCAGGTGCTAACTCTGCTCCCTTCATTCCCTACTGGCTAAACCTGCGGGAGTTTTTTTTTTTTTACCAACCATGCGCCTTCCCTGCCTCTCTGCTCTAAGTCACACTCCCGCCTCCTATTTGGTTTCTTTCTTTTTTTTTTTTTTTATAACTGAACAAAATGGCCCTCCCTCCTATTCCCAGAGTTATGACAGGCGGCGACAGAAGCAGAGAACTACCTGTCCCTGGAAACTGCCTGACTGGCACGAAAACGCGGGCACTGGCCTGGGCCGCTTTGGGACAGCCGGGTCTCCGCTCCTCGCCTACCGGGGAGGTTCGGCCCGGGGAAGTCCCGCCCGGAGACATCCGCCCTCCAGACTGACCAGTGGAGCGACCAGTCCCGGGGGCGGGGGCCGGGCGGCGGAGATGAGTCACGGCGGCCTTGGCACAGCGCTGGCCCTTCTCGACCGGTCCAGGGGCGTGCACCGGGCGGGGCTGGAGCCTGGCCCAGCTTGGCCCGGAGAGGAAGGGCCAGGCCTGGGCAGCTCGGCTCTGGCCGGTGCAGCCCCACAATGACCCCGGGGTCAGGCCGGGCCCGGGACCCGCGGGGAGGGGAGCGAGGCCGGCCCACCACCCTCGCCCCGCGCGTCCGCCCGCCAGAGGCCCAAGGCCGGCTGTTACCTGCTGCCGCCGCTGCTCCGTGCGGGACCGGGGACGTTCGAGGCCAGCCGCGCCTCCCGGGCGCACCCTCTTACCGCGTCGGAATCCGGGGAGGTGCGGTCGGCGCAGGGACCCGGGGCGCGCGGGGAACTGCGGACGGCGGATTGGCGGACAATGCGGCCCGCGCAGAACCGCGCTGCGCAAGTGGGGCCGGGCGGCGCGCGCGTGGCCGAGTGTGTTATGTGTGCGCCTGTCAGTCAACGCTGACAGACCGCAGCCCATTGGTCAGACCCCGCCCGCGTCACCGCCCACTGCCACTGCCCATTGGGCGGTTTGAACACAAAGGCTGCGGCTCGCCCCGCCCGCCGCGTGGGCCAAACGGGCGGGGCAAGGCCAGACAAGAATCGCGCGTGGGAGGCGCGGGTGAGTGGGCAACCCCTGGGCGCTGGAGGACTCGGATGGAGCCGGCAAGCGGGGGCTCGACCTGGCCTGACTTCGCACTTGACTCCCGGTCTGGTTGCTCAAAACACTTGAGCCCTGTCCTGGTACTGCCTCATGCGCCTCACCCCGCCCGCGGCCTTCTGGGGCCCAGCTCTCGGCAAGATGACTCGACAGGGCCGGGGTGCCAGGACCTTAAAGGTATTGAAGATGGCACGAGGAAGTGGGGAGCAGGGGAGATTGACAACCCCTGGCCTAAGACCCACCTGGAGGGGTAGCGTGTAGTTAGCCCCTAGAGGACCTCCCCCAAACAATTGTTGGAATCTCTTGCGTAACAGTTTTCTTAGGCATTTCTACACTTTTTTTTTTTTTTTTAACAGATCAGGAAACAGGTTCATAGAGTTTTTAAGTGATTTGCTTAGTCACACAGCTTGAACGAGGCAAAACTGAGATTAGAAGCTTCTCTCCATATCCAAGCCCCCCCTTTTTTTTTCCATTTTGGGATTGATTTTGGGATTCCAGACTTGGCAGGAAGCTCTGCCACTTCTCAGTCTGCCCTCAGAGGCCCCCAAATTTCATGGCAGAAGCTTTTCTTCATTTGAAGGAGGATGCTTGCCCCAGTTGGTGCTGAGAAGGCAAGGCCGGTTACCTATTCCTCTGCTTTACTCAAATCTGAGTGTGGAAAGAGTACTTGATAGATATGGAATGAATAACATGCTGCCTGACTTCAAGGGTCCTGTGACCTGGCTCCCCACTGGCCAACTCTACAGATGCAGAAAGTGCCCAGCTTGGGAGGAGTCACTTCCTGGCAAGCTCTTCTAAGGGAAGATGAAACTGTTGTTACTTCACTTTTAACGTGCCAAGAGGAAGAGACTAGAAATAATGAAATCAGGACAGGAAGACGCTGGGGGTAGGGGATTGAGGAAATGTGAAGCCCTTGTGCTAAGTCGACTCCATACAAAGATGACCCCCTGATCCCTGGGTCTCCACTGCCCCACCCGGAAAAGAGGGGCCTCACCTGCAGTTACAATCTACTGAAGACAACAGTGCTTGCCTCTGGGGTTAGGCTTCGAGCTCCCTGAAGACAAGCTGGCTCATGTCTGAGTATCTGCTGAACGTAGGATGAGTGAAGTGAGAATTGAAATGAGATCGAGAGTCAGCCTCCCAGTAGGGGAGGGGCCTTCTCTTGACACCTTCTCCACCCCAAGGAGCTTAATGCCTCAGTTCTGTCCTAGCCAAGTCCAGTGGAGTCTGCACATCCCGCCACCTCCGTTGCAGAGCCTGCTTCACTCCCTTCCAAGGATCCCGGCAGAAGGACCCCCTTCCCAGGATGTGCTCGCTAGTAAAGGAAGAGGCCATGCGCCTTCCACTGGTCTCAGGCATGGGCCGCGGCCACAGGCCGGCTAGAGGCAGCCCTCTGCTAAACTGTGTTGCCTCTGTGGGCCTGTAGTAGGTACATAATGGGCCCCGAAGATATTAGGTCCTAATTCTTGGAACCTGTGAATGTTCCCGTACACGGAAAGTCTTTGCAGATGCGATTAAAGGAAGGATTTTGAGATGGGGAGATTATCCTGGATTATCAGAGTGGGCTCTAAATGTAATCACCAGTGTCCTTTTAAGAGAGAGGCAGAGGAGAAGAGGAGGGGGCAATGTGGCCACAGAAACAGAAATTGGAGTGTGCGGCCACGAGACAAGGAATGCTGGCGGCCACTGGAAGCTGGGAGAAGCCAGGGACGGAGTGTCTCCTAGAGTCTCCAGAGGGAGCAAGGCCCTGCCAACACCTTGACTTTCGTCCAGTGATTTTGGTTTTGGACTTCTGGTCTTCTCAACTATGAGAGAAGAAATCTCTGTTGTTTTAAGTCACTAAATCTGTGGTCATTTGTTACGGGAGGCACGGGAACGTAATTAGGGCCCCTGGGAAATTCCTGGTCTTGTTGTTCAAGGCTCCCAGAACTGTGTGAGGTGCCTCCCTCTGTCCTGACCATCCTCACTGATGGGACCTGTCAGACTTGTGCGATCACACACAGCTCTGTCTGCCCGTCTCCGCTGCCCCTGGCCTTTCTGCCATCTTCTCCCTGAGCCACGCTCTGCCCTTTCAGACTCGTCTCTCTGCCCGGCCACCATTCATTTGTTAGTGTTCTCCCAGCGCCCCTCCTCTCTTTTCACTGCTCTGTTATTGCTCCTCCTTTCTTCCGTCATCGTTTCATAAACAGTGGCAGGGCAGAGGTGGCCAGCTTTGCCCCAGCTGGAACAGGCTCTGGGTGGCTGACGGCGCAGCCGCTGCTGTGGGGCCACACGATGGCTTTCTCTGTTGCCAGGCGCTTTTGCCTCGGTGGCCCCTTCCTTCATAAAAAAAATTTTTTTAATTATATTTTACAACCACGTGGGTAGAAAGATGACTAATCTAGGCTTGATTCATGAGTAAGTATTCATTATTATTATGCTTAATTTTTCTTCCGGTTTTAAAAGAAATGAAATGAAAACATTTCCGTGGGCCCCTGAAGCATCCTGCGTCCTGGGCGCTGAGCCCGCTCTGCTTAATGGAGAGGTTGGCTCTGTGCTGGAGATGCCAAGGAACAGCTCAGTGAGAGGAGCCCATACTGGCTCCCGCCCCAGCCCCTGCCTGCCAGAGGCCAACCTGAGTGCTCTGGGGCTCTGGAACCTTCTTCCACTCCAGCCCAGAGGAGCAGCAGCCGTGGCAAGTCCCGCATCAGCCGAAAAGCAAGGGGGGGCCCGCGATCTGCAGCCCTGGGTCTAGGCCGGGTGCACCGCTTGCTTTCTCTGTGGCCTGCTCTGTGAGCCACTTCACCTCTCGTTCGTAAAATGCAAATAATAACTGTCTGTTACACAACTGGCTGTGTGACCTGGGACAAGCCAGCGAGGCTCCCTGGCCTCTGTTTCCTCGGGTGTGAGGAGGTCAGCTGGGCAGTGGCGCTGCTTCAGCACGAAGGGCTTTTGCCGCCAGGGTCTTTGAGAGACGAAGGGAGACGGGTTTGTCCTGGACTCAAAGTCAAGTCAGGTAGCTTCTCTGTGCTTCCAGAGACCGGGCTTCCCCGTTCCCCCCCCCCAACGTAGTGGCGGAATGAGCCGTGTCCCTGTCTGCCTCCCCCAGGATTCCCGACACTTGCAGCAGGACTGATCCTAGTAGGTGCTCAATACACTTGTGTCAGATGCACACACGGGTGAGGGTAACGCCTCCAGCCACCAAGGCCCCTCCATCTCCTCCTCCCTGCCGTCCTCACCCGCCAGCCTGTTGGCGTCTGTCATTTAACCATCACAGGCAGAGTAGCCTTGGTGGGGGCGGGGGTGGGGGGGACTTTAATGTCAGACTTCCTGGCTGCAGGAACACGTTTGACAGCCACCAAGAGGCGGAAACCTCAGAGCATTTTGGTGGCCCCTCAGCCCCCCAGGGGCTGTTTCTCTGCCTCCTGGGAGTCTGACGCGACCTCCCTACTCCACCCCGCCCAGAGCCCTGGCGACAGCGCTCTGTATTTACAGAATCTTTTATCCAGGGATCCTCCGTCACCAGGTGGCAAGTGCAGTTAGGCCTGTTTTATGGAAGAAGTCCAGTCGAGGAGGGAAAGACGCCAGGGCCTGCCGGGGCGCCAGGGACAGATGTGGATCCCCACCGAGATGGACTTTCCCAGGCAGGTTCCAGTAGGTGACTGTGCCCTAGTCCTCTCTGTTCCCCCATGCCTATTACAATGCCTGGCTCCTCATAAATGCTCGATACACGTGCACCAAGTGCCCGCCTGACTGCAGCTCCCCAATCTTCAAACATCCCCCTCCCTCGTACAGCCTCGGAAAGCCAGCAGTCCGATACTCCCTGCGGCCTCACTTGCAGTCCAGCGGCGCCCCGGGGCCCCTTCCACTCCCACACCTTCGCTCAGGCTGTGCCCCGGCCTAGAATGCCCTCGCCCTGTTTCTCTACCTAATGAAATCCTAATCGTTCATGGATGCACTCAAAGGTCTCTTGTCTCATGAAGGCTTGCTTCCCTGCCTCCAAGTTCCCAAGGTGGAAGGAATGGCTCCCGCATCCCTGTCTCTGCCCACTTCTCAGGCGGTGTTCTGGAACGGGAATAACAGTCACAGACCCCAGGGGTACCATGAGGGTTGGACGGGCTGGTGCCTGGTACACAGAGAGTGTGGGCTACAATGATCACTCATCACGCCCCCAGCACAGCGCCTGGGCGCATGGAGGAACAGCCCGCACGGGCTGTGGCCTGGAGGAAGGTCAGGGCGGCACTGGGGCCTTCAAGGGCGCTGGCCCATGTGTCAGAACTCATAGGCTGACATCGGGGGACTTGCCTGATATCTATGTGAGGTTGTCCCTCCTGGAAATGACACATCCACCAGCTGCTCCACCTCCTGTGGGGACATTGCTGGCCAGTGGTGCAGGCTTGACACCTGGGCTTTCCTGGTGAACAACTCGTGCCAGTCATTTAGCCTTTCTCAGCCTCCATGTCCTTATCTGTAAAATGGGCATGTCTGTTTCTCAGGAGCTGAGCACAGTGCCTGGCACAGGGCAAGTGCTCAGTCAATGCAAACCACTTTTTAATTTACAAGCGTGTATTTATTCACCCATTGCCTACTGTGTGCCTGCTCTGACAGTAAGACGTGGCCCTTCTGGAGGAGGCCATCAAGTGAGCAGATCATCACCACACAGCAAGGCCCCGGGAGGCACACAGGCCTCTAAGGGTCCCCCGTGACCAGGGCCTCAGTATGACTTCTGTGGGCCCCTTCTTCCAAAAACGGATTAAAAATTCTATTTTGTGATTGTGCTGCTATAAAGAAGAATATAATCCAGGCTGGATTATATCCACTTTCCCCCCTTCTGGTTGATAAAAATAATTAAAACATCTCCGTGGGCCCTGACATCGTGCCTGCTGCGTGTAAGGTCTGGCTGTGACTCCTCACCCAGATCTGGGGAGTCACAGAGGCTGCCAGAGATGGTGACCTGAAGGGCGGGAGGAGTGGCCTGCATGACGGGGTGGGGTGGGGCGTGGGGGTCATTGCCGCCCTTCCCTGTTCTCCAAGGCCTGGGGAGAAGGGTCTGCATGAGTCCTCAAGAGGTGGCCAGTCTTTGCCACAGTGTTATTGTTGGTGTGGCCGGCATGCCTCGCCCAAGCAGGACAGACCTCGGAGGGGCACTCAGCACCCAGCCATCAGCACTGCAGCCTGCCTGGGGAGGCATGTCCCATCACAAGGCACTCAGTGTGGACCCCAGAGAGGGTGCAGGGCTGGCGGGCCCTGGGTCATGGCTGAGGGCATTTCAGTCGGGGGACCCCAGTTCATTCAGTCCACCTTCTGTGCCCAGCATGGCCCCCACCGCCCGTTTCCTGGAGGTCTCTGCTTCCCGGGAGCCAGAGCCCTCCAGGTGAAGGGCAATCTGGGTGGCTGGCTTTGGTGGCACGTGGGTGGAGCGAGGCAGGGCTGCAGAGATTAAATGTGGTCACCTACCTGGCTCAGGCCTACGGGCTGGCCTCCACTAACACCCCCCCCCCCCGGGCCCCCAGTCTGTGCCCCTGGGCATCATAACCGGCATGGCCTGCAGCCACCGGCCCGGGCTGTTGGGCCTGGCGGTCCGGAGCCGTGGGCTCAGGAATGTTGACTCCTTGATTCCGAAGGGTGGGAGGGGAGGGCGGGTCCAGGGAGGGATGGCCTGGGGCTGCCCCTTCACCCCACTCGTCCAAGACGGGACTTGCCTTTAGCAGCTGGGGTGTGTGTGTGTGCAAACGTGCACACTCCTGAGGGTGTGGAAAACACGGATGGTAGACCGGGGCTGCTACTTGGGAGTGACGTGACCTGCGGCAAGCCTCAGCCTGCCCACCCAGGGGCTGAATGAACTGCCTCTGGGGTCCCTTCCAGAGCCCACCCCAGGCTCAGCCCTCCCCACTGCCGTAGCTGCCCCTGTCTTTGCTCCAATCACCCTCCCCGAACCTTTCCAGCCCCCAGGACGTGCTTGGGAGTGAGTTACGTGACTCCATGCTCAGGACAGTGCCTGCGGCACATGGACAGCTCAGTCACGGGGTGGGGTGGGGGGTGTTGGCAGGGGTGGGGTGTTGGGAGGGGTGGGG